AAGCAATTATACTCCAATAAAGATGTTAAAAAAAAAAAAGACGAGGAATGTAGTATTTTGCTCTACCCCCTTTTCTGCCTTATACGCCTCTCTCCATCTCTCATCCTAGATAACATCTTAAGTCTCATTCCTGCTAATTCATGGTATAAGGTTTACGGAAGGGAACAAGTAATTACTGGAAAAATACATGCCAGTCTCTGGGGTACCAGCTTCATATACACATTGCCTCATTTCTCCTTTAAGGGGAAATACAGTTTAACAGAGAATGTCTGAAATTCACAATGTCCTCAAAACACTAAATAGGACAGAAATAATTAGGTACATGATCCATAATTTAATTTAAGGATGGTCACCCCAGCTCTGTTTATAATAGCAAAAAAAAAAAAAAAAAAAAGAACCTAAATATCCAAAAACAATTGGTGTTAGTAATTATCATGTTACAGATATTTATTGGCATAGAAAGAAACAGCACCAATTAAAAAAAGGAAGTTGCAATTATCCCATTCTGTCTCAAATATATGTGTGCACGCATCTGCACATAGGCCTGGATGTATAACCAAGATTTAATGGTGTTTCTCTCTTATTTAGTTATAGGATTTGGGGTGCTTTAGTTTTGGGGGGGCTTTTGGGGTTTTTTCTGCTTGTATGTGAGGCAATTTTTTAAAGCTAAATTGCATCTCTTCTCTTTCCTTCTCCTATGGTAGATTTTGTCAACTGGACTAGAATTTCTAGTTCCACAATGCTAATATTTATTCTATAGCAGAAATCAGGACCACTGCTCCAGCTAACTGCAAGTTTTCAGTCTGAATAGCTTGTACAGGTGGAGAGCTGCCAGAAGAGGGCAGCACTGGTCACTGAGAACACTGCATGATTTCTACAACAGTGCCGTGCAGACTTCTTTTGTCAGTCACAACCTGTTTATCGTCCAGTTTGGAGAAGGGAAAGAGAAACTAGTAATTGATGAATACCTATTTCTTACATAAGTAAGCAGGATTATGCACTATCTTTTATCAGGTGAGTTTTGCCCCTAAAACAACCCTGTTAGTTATTATGATTCTCATTTCACAAATAAGCAAATTAAAGTTACTAAAAAGATTAAATGACTCCACATTATGCTGGGGTTGACATGTACACACTGCTATATTTAAAACAGATAGCCAATAAGGACCTACTGTATAGCACACGGAACTCTGATCAATATTCTGTAATAACCTAAATGGGAAAAGAATTTGAAAAAGAATAGATACATTTATATGTATAAATGAGTCACTCTGCTGTATACCTGAAACTAATACAACATTGTTAATCAAGTATACTCCAATATAAAATAAAAAAAAATTTTTTTAAGTTATACTATCAAGTAGAAGAGCCAGGATTAGAATCTACACTTTTATCATTGAAAAGCCCAAAGTCTTTCTAGTGCACTGTGGCTCCCACCAAACTCATGAAACTGTAACTATAATCTTAATTACTGGAAGATGATCTCACCTTATTGGCAACAGCATTAACACTTGGCCGGGCGTCAAATATAAACATTTTATGAGATTGGGCATTGGAGTCCATAATGGCTTGAAGGTATTTTTCATCTTCTTTGCTTCGCTTCCCACTTACCCCTACCATGGGCTGGCTACACCGAGTGATTGTGGCTTGACTTTCAGGATGAATCCATGATAAAACCTTAATGGGGGGAAAAAAGTGGCAACACACCCTTTACATGCTTCTCTGTTTATAATCCTTCTGAAAATCATTACTCTATAAAACTCTGCTTTCTAATTGGATTCAAAGGCTAGCCATAAAAGGATATACGAGGCTGCTATGAAAATCATCACCTTTCTTTCAAGCCAATATTAGCATGTGGAAAACTTGGTCTAATTCATTAATCAGATATTGATTTATGAAAGTCACTGATTATTGGAAGTATGGTCTCTAGAAAAAAAATAGATTAAAAGGGGGCTAAGTAAACCCCACTTTTAAAGTCTGAGTACTGTATCAGCAAAACTGTCCAACTATAAAGTCTTCAGAATCTGAATTTTTGTACCTAAAATTATTTGAGCTATCTTTCTAGAACACAGTAATTCATCACAAATTTGTAAAGTTTTCTTCTTTCTAGGATTTAAAGGAAAAAAAGCATTTATCACCATCACCAAAGATGTAAAATAAGATAAAGAAATAGTGAATACAGAGCCAACTTTGTTTTCAAGTTAAGAACCATGCAATTCTGTGCAGCTCTCCAATATCCATCTCAAATTCTCCAGAAACGTCTTTAGTCTAAGTCTTTCCTCTGGTTTTAATTTTACTAAATAACACATTCTCTAATATCCCCAGAGAAGACCTGCCGCTGTAGCTATTTTTAATCCTGCAACCATTCTCCCATTTGTCATCCTCATCATTACGTGAAGTACAAAAGCAATGGGAAAGTTTCAGCACAGCTTCGCACTTACTGGGATACGGCCCCGTGATCTGAAGGATGCCACTCTCTTTAATTCTTCATCAGGAATATTTGCCGGCACAGCCAAGAGGGCAGGGTATGTATCACAAAGCTCATACCGCTCATTTATCTTTGTTATTCTCCAGCTTTCATTTGGAATTCCCTACATGTGAAATAAAACATAAGACAAATTACTGCCCAACAAAAATATTTTAAAACATCAGAACAGAAGCCTCCTATTCAACTTCTCTTTTCTCCACTATCACTTAAGTTGGAATAGTTATTGTCTGCCTGTGGTGACCAGGCTTTTAGGATGACATATTCTAACACAGGGATCTGTGTTCATTTTGGCATTCAATTTTATGTTAATAGATTTATTAAATCATTAAATACTGATTGAGTGTTGGGTCTGTCCTAAGCACATCAAATGAAAAGCAAGGAAACAGTAAGGTTGAAAATGTTCTTGTCTTTAAAAAGAACACAGTCTCATACAGTTTGACTGGGGAGTAATTCTGCTGCCATTCATCTATACAAAGAAATTTCTGAGGGCAGGCACCAAGAGTCCACCAGAATGCTACGTACATGTTTATCACGTATATACCTAAAGTGAATTTTACAGTATTAATAAAATGTTGCTGATGTAAAACATATTAAAAAAAACAAGGAAGTAATAGAAGGCAAAACCAAAAAAAAAAAAGAGGCAAGAGAAACACTTAAAACAATTTTTTAAAAACACACCAATTATTAAACTCATTTGGTCCTTAAATATTTGCCATATTTATAACTAGTATACCACTTCACATATAGGAGTACTTAATAAGACACTTTAAAATTTCCATCCTCCATTCCATAGAAAATAAAGCCATTACATTAAATGGCTGGAATTAAGAAAATACATATATTTTTAATTTTATTACTTCTGACAACTCAATAAACCGAAAAAGACAAAACTGAAAGAAACCAAATTACAGAAAAAAAAAACATTTATTGAGCACCTACTATGTGCAGGCACTATGCCAGCAGCCTTTCTCTATCCCTCCCTCCCTCCCTCCCCCCCGACCCCCCCACACACATATTACTGTATTCAGGTTTCATTACTGTCATTTTATAGATGAAGAAATTGTGGCACAAACTGTAACTTGACCAAAGAAAGTTGGAAAGAATTCCATGTACATTCTAAAACTATCCTTTTAATTAAAAAAGTACATTGTGCCTCAAGAAAAATTTTACTATCCTGGTTCACAAAATTGTTATAAAAATCTGAAATCAAAGGGCAGGAGGTACTCTCCTTTAAAGGGGTATTTCTAAAGCTGTTGCCGAACACCCAGGAGGATATTAAAATTAAGAAAGGAAAATTCCTTTCCAGTAATCATGTGATAAATATTATCAAGAGTTTCCACCTATCCCTAGCCAAGGTCTCTCTTCATTAATGCCTTAAATACTATTTATCCCATTTAATTAGCCTGGTCCCAACTTGCTTCCTATGATCTACATCTCTCCTTCCCTCCTGCTTTCCTCAACTTTCTAGATAACTGTTCAGGTAAGATCCTTACTTATTTCCAGAAATAAAAAAAAGGTTTAAGTAAGAGATGTTTAAAATAAATGTTCATGCTATAATAAAAAATGTACAATGAAAATAATGAATTCGTAAGTTTATAGAGGTGGTACTCAACCAAGAAACTTGGATACCACCTCTAACTCTCCCTCACCCTCTACTTCCAATGAATGACTAATTTTTATGATTTTTTTCTTCCAAAAGTGCCTGAAAAAAGTTTGCTCATGTCTCTCAATCTTCACTGTCACTTCCCTAATTCAGGCCATTGTCACTTCCCTAATTCGGGCCATTGTCACTTCTCTTCTGTCCCTCTGCAATCCATTCTCCACACTGCCTCAAAATTCTTTTAAGATGCAAAAGCTATCACATCATTCTTCTGCCTAAAAACTATCAATGGCTACCTATTCCTTTTCACATAAAGTATAGAATCCTTTATGGGACTTGGCAAAGACCTTCACACTCCTGCTTTCCCCAGACTGATCTCTGGCCACTCTAAACTCTAGTCTAGCCTATACCAAACACCTTCAGTTTCCAGATGGCTTCATATTCTATCACCGGAGTACCTGCTCTATTAGTCACAATATTCACCACTGTGTATTTTGATTGTTAGTTTACTTCTTTGAATCCTCCATTAAATATATGTTCTTTGGGAGTCAGGAGTGTGTCTTTCTGTTTTAGCCACTAGTACACAGTAGGTGCTACATGAATTTGATGAATGAATGAATATGTGAATCAATAAAATCAATGAACCACAAGGAAGCTTCTACAAGAAGCAAAATTAGTTTCTGAAGTTTTCTTAGAAAATATGGAGTCAAAGCTGAGAGGGTCAGATCTCCTGAGATCCTAGCGTACCATCTTTAACACAGGTAGGTAACTCCCATCTCTCTCTCACTGCCTTCCCATATCCTTGAAAAATCACTACCAGGGAGAACTGTTACCACTGAGGTTGTGTCATATTCTTCAGAAAAATGGATGGGTGGGAGTAGAATCATTGACTTAAATTACCTTAATGGCTATTGTCCTCCTGATTCTTAGAGAAGCTGACACACCTAACTGCACTAAAGAAGTGCCTTCCAAGCAGAAAACTGGAGTTGGCTAGTCAGCATATACATTCTTTGTAGACAGTGCTAAAGATATAAGGACAACTGTTGATCTCTGGCATACATCTTTCTTCTCTCCATGCAAATCACTGCCCTTCAGTTAATGTAACCATTTGTCAGTCAATTTACAACCAAATTAACTGGATTATAGCTTTCCCTAGTTACTTACATTCCAGTTCTGAGGATAAATTCTGTTTTCCTTTACTATACTTGAGTGCTCTCCAAATTTGTTAAGCAAGGTATCTACCATATGATTATTTCTGCAGAAGACCATGCTCATTTTCTATATACTGATTTTTACTATTTTAGCAACTTGATGATTTCTCTTGACCTTATCCACAAATTTCAGGGTCCTCTGTATAATCACTACATGTGTCAAGAGAAAATTAAAGAAATACTCTCTTATACAACAAACAAATGGTTACTAACAGCTTTGCCCATTTAAAAAATATATAATCTAATTTCTTTAGGCACTATAAGGTATAGTTCTACAAATTTAGTGTGGCTTTCATTTTGTGTTTCAGCGGCAGCACACAAAAAGCCAACCAATCATGACTTCTGTATTTAGAGCTTTACAATGTAACAAATATAATAATAATCATTTGGATCGATTTCTATGGTTTATAATGTGCCTTTCTGTGTATCACTAATCCTTCAAACAATCCTATAAGGCAGTTCCTATCACCAAGTAAAAAATAAAGGCACTGTGACGTGAGTGACTCATTCAACAGCACATATATAAGTGTGAGAGCTAAGCAAGTGCCAGAGGTACGATTCAAAACTGAGTCTTCTAAATGATCTGGAATTAGATTGTGGTGATAGCTGCACAACCTTATGAATATATTAAAAAACAGTGGTGTAGGGCTTCCCTGGTGGCGCAGTGGTTTAGAGTCCGCCTGCCGATGCAGGGGACGCGGGTTCGTGCCCCGGTCCGGGAAGATCCCACATGCCGCGGAGCGGCTGGGCCCGTGAGCCATGGCCACTGAGCCTGCGCGTCCGGAGCCTGTGCTCCGCAATGGGAGAGGCCACAACAGTGAGAGGCCCGCGTACCGCAAAAACAAACAAACAAACAAAAAACAGTGGTGTACACTTTAAAGTAGAAAATTTTATGGTATGTGAATTATATATCAATTTTAAAGAAAAAAAGAATAGAGAGGCCGTGTGTTTTGAGATGGTATAATCTCCAAAATATGTTAAATGAAAAAGAAGGGTACAGTGTGCACAGAACGCTATTATCTGCTTTAAAAAAATACTGTATACACATTATACAAGCTGTGTAGCATAAAATCTCTGAAAGGATATATGGGTAATGAGTAACATTATTTCCTAAAGGGAGAGAAACTGGGATGGCTGGGGAACAATGTTGGCCGGAAGGGAAACCTTCCTTTCAGTATACCCTTTTATACCTTTTGAATTTTATACAGAGTGTGAGTATTACCGCATCCAATTTTTTTTTAATTTAAAAGAAGAAAAAAGGAATACTCTGATGCTTTATCTTTAGTCTCAACATTTATATTAAGAGATTACCCTGAACAGCAAAGGAAAAACCATCAACAAAATGAAAAGGCACCCTATGAAATTGGAGAAAATATTTGCAAACCATATACCTGATATGGCGTTAACATCCAAAATATATAAAGAACTTAAAAACAACAAAAAAAAATCCGATTAAAAATGAGCAAAGGATCGGAATAAACATTTTCCCAAAGACATACAAATGGCTAGCGAACACATGAAAAGATGCTCAACATCACTCATCATCAGGGAAATGCAAATCAAAACTACAATGAGATATCACCTCACACCTGTTAAAATGGCTAATTACACAGCATTGTAAAGCAATTATACTCCAATAAAGATGTACTAAAAAATAAATGAATAATTTTTAAAATAAATAAACAATAAAATAAAACGGCTAATCACCAAAAAATCAAGAAATCACAAGTGTTGGCGGGGATGTGCAGAAAAGGGAGCCTTTGTGCAGTGTTGGTGGGAAACAGTAAGGAGGTTCCTCAAAAAATTAAAAATAGAACTACTATATGATCCAGCAATTCCACTTCTGAGTATTTATTCAAAGAAAATGAAAACACTAACTCAAAAAGATATATGCTTCCATTCATTGTAGCATTATTTACAATAGCCAAGATATGGACACAATATAAGTGCTCACTGATGAATAAAGAAAATGTGGTATATATATATATATATATATATACATATATATATGTGTGTGTATATATATAAAGAGAGCGAGAGATCTCTATATATAATGCAATTTTATTCAACCACAGAAAGAATGAAATCTTGCCACTTGTGACAACATGGATGGAACCTGAGTGCACAATGTTAAGTGAAATAAGACAGAAAAAAGCAAATATTGTATGACGATCTCACGTATATGTGGAATCTTAAAAAAAAACAAAACAAGAAAACAAGCTCATAGATAAAGGGAACAAACTTATGGTTGGTTGTTGGAAGCAGGAGGTCAGGAGTGGGCGAAATGGTGAAGGGAGCCAAAAGGTACAAGCTTCCAATTATAAAGTAAATGTAAGTCACAGGGATACACTGTACAGCATGGTAACTATAGTTAATACTGTATTGTATATTTGAGAGTTGCGAAGAGAATAAATCTTGAAAGATCCCATCACAAGAAAAAAAAAATCCTGTAACTGTTTTTGGTGACACTGTCTAGATGTTAACTATAGACTTACTGTGGTGATCATTTCACAATATTTATAAATATCAAATCATTATGGTGTACACCTGAAACTAATATAATGTCGTATGTCAATTATACCTCAATGAAAACAAGAAACAAACAGAAGAGATTATCTTCATTTTCTTCAGTAATAAACTTAAATTAAAAAAAAAGTCTTCTAACTACACCAAATACAGTGTCCTCTCCACTACATTTTAACTCAGTTGACTCAAAGTGTCTAACTCTGCAGTACAAAGCCAACAAATTAATCTAGCAAATCAAAGACCATAGAGCATCTGTATCATTCAGTGTAGAGTTCAATGCTGTATTCTGATTACCGCATTTCCTAATCTCATAATTCTCTTTCTGAATGCGTATAGCTGTTCATTTACTCTTTTTTTTCAATTGGAGTATAGCTAATTTACAATATTGTATTAGTTTCAAACGTACAGCAAAGTGATTCAGTTATACATATTTTCTCTGATTTTTTCCATTATAGGTTATTACAAGATATTGAATATAGGTTCTTGTACTATACAGTAAATCACTGTTGTTTATTTTACGTACAGTGGTGTGTATCTGTTAATCCCATACTCCTAACTTATCTCTCCCCCCACCTCTTTCCCCTTTGGTAAACATGAGTTTGTTTTCTATGTCAGTGAGTCTGTTTCTGTTTTGTAAACAAGTTCATCTGTATTACTTTTTTAGTTCCACATATAAGTGATATTATATATTTGTCTTTCTCTGCCTGGCTTACTTCACTCAGTATGATAATCTCTAGGTCCATTCACATTGCTGCAAATGGCAATATTTCATTCCTTTTTATGGCTGAGTAATATTCCAGTGTGTGTGTGTGTGTGTGTGTGTGTGTGTGTGCGTGTGTGCGTGTACACCACATCTTCTTGATCCATTCATCAGTTGATGAACACTTAGGTTGCTTCCATGCCTTTGCTACTGTAAATAGTGATGCTATGAAACATTAGGGTGCATGTATCTCTTTGAATTAGAGTTTTCACCTTTTCCAGATCACATGGTAACTCTATTTTTAGTTTTTTAAGGAACCTCCAAACTATTTTCCATAGTGACTATACCAATTTACATTCCCACCAAAAGTGTAGGAAGGTTCTCTCTTCTCCACACCCTCTGCAGCATTTATTTGTAGACTTTTTGATGACGGCCATTCTGACCAGGGTAAGGTGATACTTCATAATAGTTTTGTTTTTTTTGTTTTTGCGGTACGCGGGCCTCTCACTGTTGTGGCCTCTCGCGTTGCGGAGCACAGGCTCCGAACGCGCAGGCTCAGCAGCCATAGCTCACGGGCCTAGCCGCTCCGCAGCATGTGGGAACTTCCCAAACCGGGGCACGAACCCGTGTCCCCTGCATCGGCAGGCGGACTCTCAACCACTGCACCACCAGGGAAGCCCTCATTATAGTTTTGAATTGCATTTCTCTAATAATTGGCAATGTTGAGCCTCTTTTCATGTGATTGTTGGCCATCTGCATGTCTTTGGAGAAATGTCTATTTAGGTCTTCTGCCCATTTTTTTGATCGGGTTGTTTTTTCGCACTCACTCTTCAACTTATTCTTTTTCATATTAATTTCTTTCTTTTCGCTGGACACAGTTATCTCCTTTCCAAAGTTCTATGTTGAATGCTACTATAACAGATAGCAATTTTTGCCCAGATTCCCAAAGAATATTCTTTATTTTTACAGTTCTACAGACATTTGTTAGATTTTCTGATTGCTTTGCCACCTAATTCTGACACTGGATTTTTGGTTTAGCAAAAATTTTGCAATGTTACGTGTAGACTCTTGGTTTTTAAAAGCTGATCCATTTATTTTGTATTCTGCTTCATATTTTTCCAGCTGATGGTTTTATAACTGAATGGTTTTATAACTAATTTTAAATTTTACTTGCCACATGCAATTGAGCAACAAAATCAGTTTCAAACCATCTGGATATCTTTAGTTCTCTAGTGATGGTTTTTTATTCTTCCTGGCTTTCTGAAACAAACCTAAAAAATTAGAAGCTTTATAGTAATTAAAATGCAATGTTTAAAATCTAAATATAAAAATCATAGCCTAATGTTTGTCATATTTGAATTCTAGAATAATTTGAATATCAAATCTAATAATTACCAAGAAACAATCAATGTGTCTGAAAAATTCTCAAGAATGCACAGTGAACATGTGGAAAGTTAAAAATAAAGACTATTTTTGGTAGAGTTTAAGTATTGCAGTATAGGAACTCTGGGAAGTGGTATATTGAGGAAGAATAGGGAGAATGATACACTATAACACAGATCTCAAGACAGAATTCTGCTTTAATCTCCTACTGTGGTGAATCACATTATTAGGTTTTCTAATGTTAAGCAAACTCACCTTAGTCATGATGTATTATCTGTTTTGTATACTATCAGATTTGATTTATTAACATTTTATGTAGAAGTGTGTCCTCTGAAAATGTAGAACTTTCAAAATTTTATGTAAAGCTAAATCATAAGTAGTAGAATTATTAGGAAATGTTTTCAGAATTAAATTATAGGATACACAAAAAGAAAAATCTGAGTGAATAATGCAAATGACATATAAAAACATTAAAATGTAAATATATTTACAATTTTATTTTTATAATTATTAAACATTTTTTCAATAAACTGATTTACTTGTAAACGCTCAGATAAGTAAAGATTCATGAAAGATCATTGGCATAGTCTGAAAAGCTGTTTAAAGAAACTGAAAGGCAATCAAAAAAATCAAGATTAGCCTTTATTAAAGAAACAACAACAAAAACCACAAAACTATATAAAGCTCTTCACTTCTATCCATGAACATTTTGTTGTAATGAAAAGAATACAGAATATTGAAATTCAAAAAAAAAAGTACTTACCTGCCTTCTATACTCTAAAAGAGAGTCATATAGCTTCCACCCATTTTCAGGGAATACTTCTTTGTACTCAAAAGCAAAAAGAGGCTACAAAAAGTAAAGAGTTAATAGCTAAAAAAGACATTTAAGAAGGTAATGAATCAGAAATGTAACCTTATCATAGCCCAAGTTTTCATTTACTTATCTGTAAGGATATTTAGTATGGATATTCTTCTCTATATTGTTGTTTTAGCTTTTGTTTTATAATTTTGAAAACTTACTTTTTTTTATATTTTCAAGCACAGAAAAGCACAAAGGTCTGCCACCAAGATTTATCAAATGCCAACATATCACCATGTTTCCTTCAGATATCTTTGGTAGCTGTTTTAGGTTTACTTCTAAATAATGAAAGATATTATATAAAAAAGACATCTTCTGATATAATTAATTAGTTTGACATCATAGATATCAGCAGTTAAGCAGCTTTAAGGATTATGCGACATTTTCTAAAACATACTGAATAAACTTTTTAATTTGGGGCTTGCAATCTGTACCAAAAAAGAAACTTTAATTTATCATTAATGTAGACAGAATAGCAGGAACAACTATGATGATAAACATTCAAACTCGAGTCAGAAGACCAGGATTGATTCTAAATTTTACTTCTTACTAACTACGCCACTGAGTCAATTGTTTACCTGCTCCTGGTTTCAACTTTAAAATACGGATAAATAATATTTAGCACCATAGGGCTACTGTAGAAGTTAGAGTATATAAAATAAATGAGGAAACCTAGTACTGTTAATAGCACACAGTAGGAACTCAGTTCTAAGTATTTATACACCCTTCCCTCCTGAAATTGCTAGACTTAACTCTCAGCTCTCAATTAAAAAGATTTCACATCCTAATGAAAACCACATACAGCTTTTCATCATGGAAATACCCTGGATAGAAAGATTATATAATGATAGAATGTCAGTCTGCAGGGATGGACCTCAGAAATCAGCTAGTCCAGCTTCCTCATTTTATACCTTAAAAAGCTGGTCCTATAGATTAAACCTAAACTAGACATCTGGCAAAGTGGGACTGTAAACAGAGAGATTCTAAATAGCCTAGTTTCTTGACACTACACCAATAATTATAATATAGCTTTTACAAAGATGAGAAACCTCTTACCAGGTTATTAGAGACAGGAAATGCATATTTCATTAGATTCTCAAATATAGATCTTCTTGTTCGCCCCTCAGGTTTATGAGCAAACCGTAAGTTCCGGATATCCTAGAAAAGAGTTATGATCCAAGTCACCTATCATTGTTTGTTCACTTTTTATTTAATGAACAAATAAGGCAACTATTTGTTCATTAAATAAAAAGTGAATGAATGTGGGATACAAAAATAGACAACAGCTCCTGGAGGCAGGGAAATTACAATGCCTTATTGAGAGAAACAAAAATAAACACAAGACACTCTGATACAAGGCAGAATTCAGAGGACAGAAAATTTCCCTCTGCTTATGAACAAAAGATAGGCCACTGAAGGAGCCAGCATCTCATGTAGGCACTGGAGATTAGAGATACTATATCTGAAGTCATGATATTACATGGCTGATACACACTATCAACATTATGCCCTGGGACTTCCCTGGTGGTCCAGTGGTAAAGAATCCACCTTCCAATGCAGGGGACGCGGGTTGATCCCTGGTCAGGGAACTAAGACTCCACATGCCACGGGGCAACTAAGCCCCCTCGCCACAACTACTGAGCTCACGTGCCTCAACTAGAGAGCCCGCTTGCCGCAAACTACAGAGCCCACGCGCTCTGGAACCCCCACGCTACAACTACAGAGCCCACATGCCACAACTAGAGAAGAGAAAACCTGTACACCACAACTAGAGAGAAGCCCACGCACCAGAACAAGAGATCCCACGTGCCTCAACGAATAACCCACATGCCGCAACTAAGACCCAACACAGCCAAAAATAAATTAAATAAATAAATCTTAAAAAAAAATTATGTCCTTTCCCTGTGAAAGCCCAATGTCTGTTATGAATTTCCCTATTAAAAACCTGATTAGCTGTTGTTATATTTAATAAATGTCTTCATTCCCATTATGCTTGGTGATCATTTGCCTATTTATAATCCCTTGCCAGGACTCATTTCCATTGGATCTTCAATTCATAAGGCTCCTGCTACTAGACTGATAGAACCAAACTCTGCCTAAAGGTCTTCCTCCAGTCCACATCCCAAGTTCTTCAACTATCTACTAGCAAAAACTCTGAATAGTTTGACTGATATCATCCAGGCTCTAAAGTCAGATCTAAAGAGCAAAATTCCCTTCCCTTATTTGTTCTCAAGCAGTTTTCTATGCTCAGGCTGAATGTAGATATTCATGTTCCAATTTACTGAGATCTTAATAGCACTAAGAAAATAAACGGGATTATGAATAATTTCAAGACTATTCATTTTATTTAAGTGGTTTCATCTAGACAGAATTCAAAATAGCTTTATTCCACTGCATCCTGTAAAATTGAGCACACAGACACTCCACTACAATGCACCTACAGAACATGAACAAGTAGAACATTTTATTATAAATCTGATCCAAAATTAGAATGCCAGCTCTACCACCTTTTAAAACAAATGTGTGAGAACCTAAGCTGATACTTTGTTTTTCATCAGTAAATACCTTTACAACAAATAGAGATATTCATAATCAGTCTGTTAAACAGAGCTCTCCAAAAGTACCATAGCAGGGGCCCTACAAATGTTTGGGTTTATTGATAATGGTCTTGTTCTATGGAAAAAGTTATATTTAAAATGATGAAAATTTCAGTCACCCTCTTTCATGTCCTCTTATATTCTATGCTCTATTTACTCTTTAGACCACAGAAGAGCAATCAGGAGACAGTGTGCCTGTCACACAACTGACAGCTATTATACTCTTAGAGCCCTTCCAACTTAATGGAAAACCACACAAATAATTACTAAGTCATTAGCTTTAATACTAGATTCATAAAGCTTCTAAGATTGTCATGAGAAAGGATCTTGAAAGTTACGCATATGCTGTTGCTTTTACTCTTTTGGCACTCGCAGAACAGCAAAAGAAAGGAAAAAGATGATCTAGAAGTGAGATGTACACAGCTGTTAATTAGGCTATATAGTAAGGAGAACAGCGACCTTAGAAGTGGCAATGGTATTAAATATTTACGACTGAATGTTAAGATTATAACAATCTAACTCTCATTCAAGTATCAATGCAATTAAGGAATACTAGTTAGATAAGAAAATACAGAAGGTCTATAACATGAAGTTTTCCTCACCATAGTTTTAGAAGCAGAAAAATTATGAGAACTAGAAATAGGAAAGAGGTGATTGTATCACAATCAGTTCCTCCACTACAAAGTACTCTGAGCCTTAACTGCTAAGAGCCTTATGTTTCTAATTTGTAAATTAAAGGTAATCATGTCCATCATGCTTACTTCAAGATTTTTATGAGGCTCAAAAATGAAATAATGAATGTGAGAGTACTTTGGTTCAGTCCAAAAAATTCAAGTCTAATTCATGACCAATTACCTTTTTATTACTCCTAAATGTTGTTTTCTTCTACCAGAATGACACTTCTAGCATGAAATCCATTTGATATTTTGGAAGTTTCTAAAATATCTATTTAATAGAAAGCTTTTCAAACAAAAAAAAATTGCATACGTATTACAACATTTACCTTGCACACAGTTTCAAGTCCGTAAGAGTTTTCACCTCGACTAGAAGCACCACCAATTTTTTCTACTCTACTTATAACACCAAGAGAAGCATCTAAAACAAATGGGGGATCCTAAAGGAAGGAAAAAAAAATTAAAACTGAGCAACTGATACTGTACAATTATAGCTGAGAAAAATATTAACTAGAAATGCTTTAATTAACAATGACCAAAGATGAACAAACAACATACAGATGTACATATAAAAATCTGATCCAACAAGCCTTACCCGTTCCATGCTTTTGAAATATAACCTGTAGTTCGTAACAGTCAGAGTTCCTCGTACAGCACCAGTGAATGGACATATATAAGTTACATCTTTGGCTGAAAAGGAAAAGAGCCCACAATTTACTATACATTGTGCACTATTAAAAACTGCACTATCATCTTTTCACAAACAAAACTTAAAAGAATTCTGATTGCTAGTCTAAATTATGATCAAGAAAATCACAGAATCAGTGATTCAAAGAGACCTCAAATGCTAAATCCAAGCTTCTAACCACACACTAATCCGGGGAAGGAATGTAGAATAAATGGGAAGGACTGAAGAAGCAGAGGGACATCCTTCACCCTGAGACAGACACAAGGAAACAAAGATGGCCACTCTCCCTGATGGACAGACGAGGTGTGGCAGTTGGAGTAGTGAGTGGAGGAGTAGTGGTAAAGGTGGGAACAACAGTAAATGTCTCAAGTCACAGTCACCAAACATCTAATCATAGTTCCTAGCTCATCTCTCCAATCTGCTGGTCTTCTTCTGGCCACAGTCTAGTGTGTCACCATTCCTCTAACTATACAATACCTAAAACATAATAACAGAAACTCCTGACCTGATTATATTTATACAGAAAATACTGTACAGAAAATGAAACATATATGAAGTAGATTCTTAGAAAAAATAACAGTACAATAAGAGGGTATTATATTCCTGACCAAGCAACAGATGTCAAACTTTGTAGAGAAATAATCACAAGCATTGTTTAATTAAATGATAAATGATGAATCTATACAGTATTATCGCTTTTTAAAACGTGTTAATTAAGCAGGGTAACTCAGCTACCACCAGCTCAAAATAATATTTAATATGGTAGAGTTCATATGCCCAATACAAAGGTTTTTTTGTGTCTTAGAACATTCATAAATCCCTGCTATGTCATTACTGTAGCAAAGCAGCAGATAAAGGAGCATCTTCATTGTTCCAAGAAACTAAGGCACAATTAGGAGCAAAAAATTTCTAAGAATGTTTCAAGGGGCTTCTGGGAAAACTTAGGAACATGAAATATGTTTAATAAGGTATTGCAACTTCCTTGACTTTGCTTTCTCTATTCCTCACTTTGAAGGACTGACCGCTTTGTATGGAATTTGAAATGAGACTGATCTTCCAACAAACATTTCTAACCTTCAAAATAGCTCCCTTAGGAATGTTCAAGTATGAGCTAAATTATTTGAATCATTGTTTCCAATGCATTTCCAATGCTTCATTTAGAGGGAAGCTATTAAAATTAAATAAACCAATCATTATAGAAAGATACATAAGCTTGCCTTGCAGACATTTTCTTGCCCTTATGAATTTTTATCTCAGCTGGGAAAGCTTTATTCAATGTTACTAAAGACATTTCTTGATTTTTTCCAGAGCCAATTTTCTTCACTCACACAAGAAAATCAGTCTTATTATTCTATATTCTACTACAGGATATGTCCCTCTTAGTCCCAGCCCAAAGTTTTTGTTACAACTTCCTTTATTCTAAAATCATGAAATAACATACATGAAAGTGCTTCCAAAATTAAAAGTACTCTACTAGATATCGGGTTGGCCAAAAAGTTCGTTTGGTTAATGAATACGTTATTCAATAAAGCTCTTGATGAAAATTACTTACAACCGAACGAACTTTTTGGCCAACCCAAGGGTTTATAGCTATGTTACTATTATCATCATTAGGCTTGGCTTTGCTCTGTCCCTTTTATCCTTTTTCCTCAGGCTGGTGGCAGCTAAGTCACTCTGAAGAGAGAATTTATGCCTAGCAGAGTTTGTACCAAGTAGAAGAGAGACTGTGATTAAGAATCTTAACCAGAGCGAACGACAATAGTTAACAACCAGCACTGACAGCCTAGCACTTCAGAATTTATAAAGTACTTTTTACCTGAGTACCTCCCTTAACCTTCAAAACAACCTTTAAATATAAAACCTCTAATTACCTACAACTTTTAGATGAGAATACCAGGGCTCAGAGAAGTAAAACAAATTGTCTAATGTTTCAAAACCAGTAACTGCTAAGATTAGGACTCGAATGCAATTCCTATGTCTGCAAATTCAAATTTCCTTCCACCACATCATGCAAAGCTAAGTCACTCAAGTAGCACAGTCTGTCTCTGGTGTTAAAGGGTGAAATACTGCCGTCTGGGGCCATCTCTACTGCTGATGTGCACAGGCCACAATATCCTGAGACTGTTGCTGCTACTGTTAAAGCATTCTGTTGATGTTCCTAACACTACTCTTTTAAAAAATGTCTAAACTGCAGATTTACATTAGACCAACTAAGAATGTCTTTTCTATATGAAGTAATACAGTCAAGGTTACCAGCCTTATCCTTTGTATTACATTTAATTTTTTGAAGAATCATCAAGTCTATACAGGTGACTTTGAATCAGAATATTTTATTTAATATATTAGCTATTCCTCTAAATTTCACAATACTGATACTGCCTAGTGGTACCAAAAGAGTTTAGGTTTACCAATCCTCTCAAATTTTCCCTAAGCTCACAAAGAATCAATAATAGTTTCCATGAGGCAGACCAAAATGACTTTGAGAATACATATCTATAAGGATGTAAAATATATACAAATAAATGCAATATATGAGAGCATGCAATCTGTGCAGAAAGAGAGGCACAAAAACATACTCTAAGTAATACAAAGAAGGAAAGTCCATTAAGTTATGGGATCGGAGAAGGTTCAAGGAACACAGCCATGTGAGTTGTGCCCCAGTGGTTGGTATCCTTTTAATGGGTAGAGATGTTGATACAGCACTCAATGCAGAGAAGAACCTAAACTAAAATACAGAAGAAAATAACTATTTGGACAAGGTAAGTATATAGTCTGGATCTCTCTAATTTATATATCACATTCTCTTCATTCCTTCTCAATTTCCCTCCCTGGTTCCTCTTCTACCATTTACCAAAGCTATGTTCTTGGCCCTCTTTTTACTCCATACATTCTCTGGGTTATTTTCCTCCTTTCATTTTCAACTAATATCCATATTCTGATGATTCCAAAATATGTACTTCCAGCCCTGCTCTCTCTCCCAAACTCCTGCGAGTTTCTCATAGGTACCTGAAATTCAATGTACATACATATTATACCAAGGGCTCATGAAAATGAAAGAAAAAGATATCATTTAAGAAATTTTTAGAGATTACTCCTCTGGATCTGGTAACTGATTGAATGTCAGAGTTCAGAAAAAAAGAGCAGCTGATGGGGCTTCCCTGGTGGCGCAGTGGTTGAGAGTCCGCCTGCCGATGCAGGGGACACGGGTTCGTGCCCCGGTCTGGGAAGATCCCACATGCCGCAGAGCGGCTGGGCCCGTGAGCCATGGCCGCTGAGCCTGCGCGTCCGGAGCCTGTGCTCCGCAACGGGAGAGGCCGCAACAGTGAGAGGCCCACGTACCACAAAAAAAAAAAAAAAAAAAAGAAAAGGGGTAAATTTAGAGATAAAGGTGATGACAGTTTTGGAGATGCTGAGCATAAGGGATATCTACAGAATATCCAAGGGCATGCGTCTAAGACACAGGCATTTGTTTTATACGTAATAAGACAGAGCTTCACACTAGAAGTAACAAATTTTGGAGTCATCAGTAGATACATGGTAGGTAAAGCTACTAATTTAGGTATGATCAACTAAAAAGAGCAAATAAGAGAGCAAAGGGAAATGAGTCAAGGATGAAGTTCTAACTGGAGTGTTGCTATCTAAAGGAGAGGAAGAGAACAAAAGAGATTGAGTGGTAACTTGAAAATCTTTCATAAGGTCATTTATCATAGTGGAAATAGCATATGCTTTAGGCTCAGAAGAGGGAAAAAAAATTGTCTCAATGCTAGCTATAACTTTACTAGCTAGGTAGTCTCCCTATGCCTTAGTTTCTTCATCTACAAAATGGGATTAATATCTTCCTCAGAAGATCACTGTGAGGATGATTAAATGAGACAGTAAGCACTTAATAGTGATAACTACTGTTATTATATAATATCCAGTGGTAATAACACATAACACCTAACTTAGTAGGTAGCTCAGCAGAACAAGCTTAGGATACCTGAGGTGAGTAGGGGGGGAAAAAGGAATGTGGAGGTATTCAATTAAGAATTAAAAGAAAGAAGAGAGAAATGCTAAGTGTGAAGGAACTAAATGTACCTCAGGCAATAACAACACATTTAAGGGATAGGTCCCTTTGGCTTGCTTATTTTTACACAAGGAAATGACATGTGACCAAGGGAAATTATGCATTTATTAAGTACTTTTTAAAATTATGATTGATAATCAAATGAAAGGTGGTGTTTACTTTGACTGAAAAACCATCTACTGTATTCTCCTATATATTACTTTATTTCTCAAAAGCTATGAGTATTTTCTTTTAATGACTGAATAATATTCCATTGTATATATATAAATATATAAACATACCACATCTTTTTTTCAATCATCTTACGTTATTTCTTTACAGAGTTCTTTTACGAACACAAGCATACAATTTTTTCTTTTCTTTGTTTTTTAACTGAAGTATAGTTTCTGTACCATATTATGTAAGCTATAGGTGCACATATGGCGATTCACAATTTTTAAATGTTTTATTCCATTATAGTTGTTCTAAAATACTGGCTATATTCCCTGTGTTGTACAATATAGCCTTGTAGCTTATTCTATACCTAATAGTTTGTACCTCTTAATCTCCTACCCCTATACTGCCCCTCCCCGCTTCCCTCACCCCACCTGTGACCACTAGTTTGTTCTCTATATCTGTGAGTCTGCTTCTTTTTTGTTATATTCACTAGTCTGTTGTACTTTTTAGATTCTACATATAAGAGATATCATACAGTATTTGTCTTTCTTTGACTTATTTCACCTAGCATAATGACCTCCAAGTCCATCCATGTTGCTGCAAATGGTAAAATTTCACCTTTTTATGGCTGAGTAATATTCCATTACACACACACACACACACACACACACACACCCCACAACTTCTTTATCCATTCATCTATTGACAAACACTTAGGTTGCTTCCATATCTTGGAAACTGTAAATAATGCTGCTATGAACACTGGGGTGCATGTATCTTTCTGAATCAGTGTTTTGGGTTTTTTTTTTCCACCCAGGAGTGGAACTGCTGGGTCACACGGTAGTTCTATATATACCTCATCTTCTTTATCCATTCCTCTGTTAATGGACACCTAGAAAAGAATGAAATCTTGCCATCTGCAAGAACATGAATAGACCTGGAGGGTATTATATTTAATGAAGTAAGTCAGACAGAGAAAGACAAACACCGTACCATTTACGTATACATGGAATTAAAAAAACAAAGGAACAAATATAACAAAACAGAAACAGATACAGAGAACAAACTAGTGGTTACTAGAGGGTAGAGGGGTGGGGAAAGGGGCAAAACAGGTAAAGGGGATTAAGAAGTATAAACTACCAATTGTAAAATAAATAATTTACAAGGATGTAATGTGCAGCACAGGGAATATAGTCAATATTTTATAACAACTTTGCATGTTGTGCAATCTATAAAAATATCAAATTACTATGTTGTATACCTGAAACTAATACTGTAAATCAACTATACTTCAATAAATAAACATCTTAAAAATTTAAAAAGCTATGGGTATTTTGTAGATCACCACGCAAGTGGAACAAAATAAAAGCATGAGGACCAAAAAATAGCTTAAAAGTGTGTTTCCAGTTTCCAGTCCATACAATAAGTTAATGCTTAGTTATTTAGGCTGGACAAAGAAAGGCACCTACATGCAAACGGCTTGCTTTGCAATGGCGATGAAATATATTTATCCAAAATTGACAAATTTATTCAGAGTAGGAAAAAATAAAGAAGCAGAGAGAATGTGCTTTAAGAAAAATTACTTGTACAAAGTGACAATTCAATATTTTTATCTATGCAACCCACTATCTTACTGCAGTAATTCAAAATAATGAAATTTACTTTCACGAAATTCAGCAACAGTTTTTAAAATAAGTCACCTACTTTCAGTGAAAGTAAAGCAAACCAGAAAAGCAGCAGAATATCATTCAACTTTCATGTTTCCCAGTAGTCCAAATCCAAACACAACCAACAGGTCTAGACTTAAGCTTACAGAACACACTGGATGCTGGGAAGGCTGGCAGTAATGAGTCCACCAAACAGGAGGTGTCTAGGCAGTGAGCCTGTTCTCTGTACATTCAGAGTACTAAATAGTCTGTACAGTCACAAAGGAGGAGGAAATTCGACAAAAATACCATTACAGACCCATGTCTTTAATATTTTCTCCTGGAAGTAAGGGTGGTTCTTCCATTTCTGCTAATTTGTTAGACTCCCTCAGGACCTGGATTGGAAAGGGGAGGAGAGAGCAAGAAAAGAAACATTTTTTTATTCAAAGGCTAATTTTTTACTCAAATTTCAACTGTGTATGCTTGGTCTTATTTAAAGTTATAAACTATATCACATATACTGCTTTAAATCAAATTATAAAGACTATAATGCTGGCATGTGTAACATGTGAAGTTGCTGTTTTTCTACAAACATGTACTGAGTGCCTACTCTGTATAAGGTACTACACAAAACACTACGTTTTCTCACTGACTCCTACAACAGCCCTGTAAGGGTAGGTATTATCATCCTCATTTCCTAGATGAGGAAAAAGAGGCCAGAATTAACTTGTTCAAGATCCTATAGCTAAAAAGTGCGTGGGCACGCAACTGTCATATGCTAAATATCGCAACTGTCGTATGCTAATATCGCGATTGTCGTCATCGTCGTATGCTAGATACATCCCGCTAACTGCCAAAAGCCTCCCCTTTCACCTCTTTCACTGCTAAACAATAACCTTCACTGTCGCCAGTCCTTTACCTCCCATTAATTCCTCAACCTTCTGCAATCTGGCTTTGCGACCTAACCCAACCCCTTCCAGGGAACCTGCTTTCTCCCCAATAACCTCCTCAGTATTAAAGACAATGGGTATTTCTCAGTCTTTATTTCTATCTCCTAGCTACATGTGATACTACCTGCACTTGCCTGCTTCTTGAAAGTACACTCTCCTGGCTAAACTCTTCCTTCTCTAGCCATTCTTTTTCAATGACCTTTATATGCCCTTTTCTCAACCCTCCCTATTTCTTCAAGGTTCGTCCATTTCTCACTTTACTCACTTCCTGTTGATTTCATACCTTATCTATGACATTACCTAACTTCAGTCTACACTGTCAGCTGAGATTTTTCTTGGACTCTAGTTCCATACATCCAACTGCTTAATGTTCCTCTCCATCTAGATGTCTCACAGACACTGTGAACTCAACAGATTTAAAATTGATCTGTGTTCCATACTTAGCAAGAGGCACTACCATCCATTTGGTTGTCCTAGCCTGTCTGGGGGGAGGGAGGAGCAGTGGTCTCTGTGAGCAGACTCAGGCCTTCTACTTCAACCTCAATTTGTTTCATTAGACTGAGAACCAATACTACTAGAAAAAAGATTCTCAATTTTTTTTTAAACAGCTTTTGACTTTTATTTCCTTCCATCCAAAAAGTAGACTTAAGAGTCCTCAAAAGAAGGTAAAAGGGAGAAAAAACAAGGCATTACCACTGCCTTAAAGGTCACCTTCTGCAGGCCGTCAAAACTGAGTTAGATGTCTGCCATGCGTGAGCTCCTATCAGGCACTTACCACACCACTCTAATTGCCTGTCTTCTTCCGTACTAGACCCCTAGAGAAGAGGTACCATAACTTATACAATTTTGAACTCCCAATAAAAATATAACACGAGGCACATATGTAATTTTTAATTGTCTTATAGTCACATTAGAAAAAGAAAAAAGTCAAAAATTGATTTTAATAACATATTTTATTAAATCTAGTTAAGTCAAAACTATTGTCATTTCAACACATAATAAATATTTTTAAGTATTAATGAGATATTTTATATTCTTTTATTCATACTAAGCCTTCAAAATCCAGAGTATGTTTTATACTTCTAGCACATCTCAACCAGACCAGGCGCATTTCCAGTGTTCAATAGCCATCTATCTAGTGGTGCCCATATTGGCAGCACTAATGCAATGAATCTAATTCTTACTGATAGTCAAGTCATTCCCTAGCTTAAGTTAGGTGCTGAGGGAGGATTACACAAAAGGGTTAGACATTACTGCCACAGCCCAATGCTCACCTAAGGCAAATAAAGGAAGAACTACAAAGAACAAATTACTTCTGTTCAATAAATTTGCAATCTAAACAAATTCATACTTTTGAAAATTTTTAAATTTATTTCAGAAAGACACCTTAGTGCAATACCTAAAGAACTAAAATATATACACACATACATACTTTGTTAATATTCCACATTCTAAAACTCAAAAAACGTCATATTTTTGAATGGTATCTCATTGCCAGTTCCTGATATAGTCTTTTATGCAGTCATAAAAGAAACTTAAGAAAAAAGGAAGAGAGAGAAGTAGGGAATGAAGGAGAAAGGGCGAGCCCATGAAGATGAAGAAAAACAGTATAAAAACCTGCACTATGCAAATATATAGACTTCCTGGCTTCAAATCCTGACTGTGCTATATGTTAGCTAAGTACTCTTAGACAAGTGTTCAACTTCTTTATGCCTCATTTTTTCCACCTATAAAATGGTGATAAGTACAGTATGCCACAAAAGGGCTGTTATAACTTAAGTGAGTTAATACACTTAAAGCATTTACATCAGTGTTGACACAAAATATATACTTAATAAGTATTTTCTATTTATAGAAATAATAACAGTAAAATTAATAATAGTAGTAAAAATTTAGACTAACAAGGTTGCCAGAATCTGGTAAGAATTTCTACTAATTATGAAAACAATTAGATCAAAAGATATGAATAATAACTAACACACAGTATACTGAAAAAACCAAACAAGGTTACACATGTGAAAGTTCACATAAAGGGAATCTGCTTTATCCTTTGCCCACTGTCTATCACTTGATTTGGAAATACAATGATTATGTCACTTCCAAAGCTGGGCACTAGTTCTCTATTGCACAGGTATACCTTCTTATAGTTGCTACAGTGTTGTTCCCCATGATTTCCTCTCTTTCTATATTTCTGTACTCGGAAGGAAGCTGCAAACCCCAGAAAATATGTGTGTTGTAGACAGGTGTGGAGAGAAAGGCAGTTCTGGCAGAGGCACAGGTGCATGACGAGGTACAATCTTCATAAGTAAAGCTTTGCAAAGTGAGAAAAGACACAGGGAAACGCATGCAAGCAGTGCATGTTGAGAATCATAGGCTCTCATATACTCTTGGACTAGAATGTCAGAGAACAAGACAATGAAGAGAAGCAAGATGGACAGCTTTGTTTGGAAAATCTGCACCAGATGACAGACTTTTAATAATAGGCATACACTGGAGGTTATACATGAACAACTCACTTTAGAGCTCAAGATATAGAAAGGAACTCAAACAAGTACACAAAGCAAGGCCAAGGGCAATCCAGACCCTTTGTTTACTGGCAAACACTGATTCTGAACCAATCTATCCTTAATGAAACAGAAGAGAAAAAAAAAAAATCGGGCCTAAAAAAAAAGATTGTTTGACAAGAAAAAGGTAGTATCAGCCTGAAGCTCAAAAAAAGAGCAGTTCTCTGAAAATATTCCTATAAGCATTAGAAGAAACAATGTATAAACTATATGGCATACCCAAAAGGAAACCAGCCTATCCCCTAGGAAACAGGAATAGAAAGGAGAGACTGAAACTAAGAGAAATGGGTAAAATAAGGAATTACTACAAAAAAATTTAAATGTAACAGCAGAAATAAAATCTGTGCTGGAGTTAATAAAGAACTGAATGGATTATTCAGAAGACAGCATTTATGTACAGGGCAAACGTGAAAAACCCTCTAATAATTTGTAGAAAAGAACAGACATAAAAATCATGAGAGAAGATGATAACCAATAAAAGAATTCTATTCCCTAAAGGAAAAAATTAAAACAGGATAGAAGCAACAATCCAATATGTAACTGAAGAACATGCTTTTGAAATGGGTAAAGATTTTCTAAGTTTGCTGATCGAAATAGTTTATCATGTTCCACATAAAAATCAGTGAACAGACATATATGGGTGTATCTCAGCAAAAATTTCTGAACTGTAATTAAAAGACAAACTGTGAAAATATAGACAAAAATGTTTAGAAAGAGAAAGAATTTACATACAAAAGCAAAATCAGGCTACCTTCAAATTTCTCTGTAAAACCATATTCTAGAAGACAATAAGAAAATGTTATCAGATTCTTGAAGGAAAATGTTGTGACCTCTCTAATGTGGAAGTCATTCTCAGATATGCCAAGTCAACAAAAATGTAACCCACATGTCCTACTTTTGAAAAAAGAAAAAAATTACCCAAGGCAGTAATTAAGGTGAAAAAGGGGAATGAAAATTAAAACATATATAAGAAATTTGTGGTACCCAGTGAAGACAAGTTTTTTATATCCTAACTGCCTTCCAGCCAAAAAACACAAAAGAAAACCCATTTGGTGGCAGTAGCCACCATACTAACCTCTGAGTCTTAGTTTCATCATTTATATTATTACGGTAATATTAATATCCACCTTACAGGCTTGTGAATATGAAATGAGATAGCTGCATCATAAAGGGATTTGCAAGATGCTGTTAAAATATAAGAAATACTTATTATTCACTTAAGAGAAGCATCAACATAAATTTGCACTGTTTCTTCTCACAATGGCTTATTCACATGGTGCTTTATTCCTCTGCTCTAAAATACACCGGGATTAATATTTGAGACAGCATGTCATAAAGGTAACCATATATCTCTCTAACTCTTGACCTACTAACTTCTAGACTTAGCTACAGAATAGCAAGCATCTTACTATTCTAAAGAAAGCAGCAAGAGAAGTGATGCTAGCTCCATGGTAGCATAAGGCATCCCTCATTTTCATTGTCCTTTAACTTCTAAAATTTGGTATCTATCCATGAACAAAAGTGTCCCCATGGGAGCTATGGAATCCAGCACCATATGCCGAGGGACCTAGAAGGAGTCTCCCCCACCACTGCATCGTGTAAAAAGCAGACAGAACCTGATACAGGCTGTAGAACCAGCAGGAGCCTGTGAACTGACTCCAACCCCTCTTAACTGCGGTACCTGGAAAACAATGACATGAGCAAATATCCACAGATGAGAAAGGCTTTATGGAAGTTCAGGTTTCTAAAGAAGTTCCAGCACTCCAGTGGGAACAACAACAAAAAAATAACAAGTCTGGACCCATTAGGGTAAGAGGACCTTTGCCAGTATCACCCCTCCCCCCAAGGTGGCACAGCCTGGAGAAAAAGGTTTGGAATCCC